ATACAAACGAGACAACTTAAATTGCAGCTACAACCCGTAAATATGCAAACTATAGCTATGAAGTATAATTAAGATTATTATAGTGGCTATTTGCAAAAATTCCCCGTAATCCTATATTGGTTTGTAATTACTCCTTTAATTCCATATCAAGATTTTAGAGTTTAAGTACTATTCATAAAATTACAAAATCCAAGCTTATTATTAATTTCAAGAGCGTTTGAATACATACGAAGATCCAAGTACAAAATAAGCAAACTATAAAAAATATACATTTTTTTTAAATTATTTTTATCAAGTTGCATAAATATAAATATTTATATATTATGAGCATGGTCATGTGTATCCTAGCTGGAATACTTTTTCCTTACCAACCCCAAATACACTTGTAGCATACGTGTACCCACACGTTCAGCCAAACTAACCTCTACATCTAGTCAACGGTCACCTCAAATAATCATTTCATCATTGCTTGCTCATTATTTTAATTTGAGTAATTCATTTATTAGTGTTTATCTGTCGATATATAAATTTGTTTTGCACAAATCAAATTATAACGAAGGTTAAAACTATATTCTAAAATTTTACATGTTTTGATTGTAAGTTTACTTGAACGGGAAGAAAGTTTCATAAAGAGACCAGAGCAATTATCATGGCATAATTTTGTTCGTACAAACAAATAATTAAAAATATCTAAATTTAATTTCTCAATTCTAAAACAAGATATTTATTACTTTGAATGTATTTATTCGATCTAATATAATGATTTTACCTCATTAAAATTAATACAAGTTATTTCATGATAAACTGAACTTATGTTATTATTGTTCAATTAGGTAAAAGATAATTTAATAATATTGAAATCTCGGATTTGTGAATATTTTTCATCCAAATTTATCGATGAATTTTTTTACCACAATCATATTATTATTATTATTATTATTATTATTATTATTATTATTATTATTATTATTATTATTATTATATGAATTTTAACATCACTAATATATGAATATAAGAAAAAGAAAGTTTTTAGGGGTCAAAAAACCCTTAATCAAAGGTCTCAAAGTCTTGGATTCGAATTCGGATTCGAGTTCTGCATATGGAGAAAATCTTGTTGGGATGTCATTCCAAATGGCCGGGTTGGAAACAAAAAAATGACTTTTTCTTATATTCCAACTTTTCACTTGTGCTAAGGTTCCAATGGATTCAATCTCAACTGCTCATCGGGAATAAATTTAACTGTCAGCCATTGATGCCCGCACGTGCAATCATTATCGGAGGACCTGTAGTTTGTCGGTGGGCCAGCTTTGCTTGGATTAATGGGCCTCACATATCTGGCCCATGTGACCGGCTTAGCTGGTTAACATGTGATTAACCGTTAATCGGATCCCTTAAAGCTTATAATTACAGAAATCCCTCAAACGGATACAATAGTATAAGCGCTGATACATTAATCTAATGCGGGAGATACATTAATCGTTAAGTAAGATACATTACATTTTATACATGATACACTAATCTAATGTACATTTTATACATGAACACTAATCTAATGCGCGAGATACAATATATAAGCGCTGATACATTAATCTGATGAGCGGAAATGAGGGATTTTGGAGATTTGTAAAACTTATAGGGGATAATAGTAATAAGTAAACTAAAAGGTGAGATTTCTGTAATTTTTCCTTTTATATAACACAATTCGGATTTAGAAATTTGAACAAGTCTATATTTTACTTTAAGTTTTTCATAAATCTTTTGAACAGTTTGAATTATCAATTATTGTGACTTATAATACTTTTTACGTAGTTTACAAATATATAAATTTTATTTCAAAAAATTTGAAGATTTCATGCGCAAATTGCCGATCAAACTTAAATCGTTTGACTCTCAAAAAATGAAAAGTGTCACAAATTGAGACAAAGAGAGTATCATTTTTTATTGTTAGGGAAAGTTGCACATTTAATTGAGAGGCCAAAAATAATTACATTAAATATATAATAAATATACAGTATTATCAATAGAATATCCATATATATATTTTCTCTATTAAAATTAAATATTTATATTATTATATATATCGACTATTATTTTGATGTATAAAATGTTTTTTTTAAAAAAATAATAAAAAAATAAAGGGCAAATTACAGAAATCACATACTTTTAAGACAAAATTACAATTTATCCCTTAAAAGTTTATAATTACATAAATCCCTCAAACGGATACAATAATATAACCGCTGATTAGGGGTGTGCACTATTTGGATTAAACCAAAAAATCAAACCGAATTCTAATTTGGATTGGTTTTTTGGATTTTTGGTTTGGTTTTGGATTTATAATTTACTTTGTTTGGTTTTTTGGTTTGGTTTCGGATTTAGAAAAATGAAAATCGAAAAACCAAAAAAATTGAATTATATTATATTATATATATTATGTTTAGAATTAAGTTGGAGTTAACCACTTTTGTCTCTTTTTAGTTATTTTCATTATGATTTAGTTTATTTTTTTTTATGTTTGGACATCTATAATTGATATACTTTTAAGTATTGTGTTTTACGTTTTACTTGTGATTTATATTAAAAAGTATATTTAAGAAATTCAATATATATATATATATAGTTATGTTTCTAATTATTGACATAACCGATTAACCAAAACGAAAAAGCCCAAACCAAAAAGAGAAAAACCAAACCAAACCAAATTTATTTTGGCACTTCTTCAAAACCAAAAGCCAAAAAATCCAAACCGAAAAACCGAATGCACACCCCTAGCGCTGATACATTAATCTGATGTGCGAGATACAATAATATAAGCGTTGATACATTAATCTGATGCGCGAGATACAATAATATAAGCGCTGATACATTAATCTGATGCGCAAGATACAATAATATAAGCGCTGATACACTAATTTGATGCACAAAAATGAGAGATTTTGAATAATTGTAAAATTTATAGGGGATAATGGTAATAAGTAAACTAAAAGGTGGGATTTCTGTAATTTTTCCTAAAATTAAAATAAACCCTACTCATGGAAAAGGATTTAAAAGCCCAACTTGTTGGAAAAAAGAATAAAAAGCCCAATTTGAGATGTAGGGTTGCACGTGTGCCGAGTTTGGAGAATATTTGTTCTGTATATACACACTCTGTGAAATTACAAACATATCCTCACTCAAATAAGCACCATAAAGCCTAAATTGGGACAATAATTTAGTGGAGAGAAGAGGTTAGTTTGGTAAATACCATACATGTTTGGTTTAGCAGCTAATATTAATTAATTAATGTATTAATTATTAAAGAATTAATTATTGCAGAAGACAGCATAAGCTTCATCATTTAAAAAAATGTACTTTATGAGATTGTGGGATTATTATTTAATTAATTATATATACTTTACCTAATCATATATTATTGGTTCAAATGATGAGAAGCTGTCTCAATTATCATATAGTAAGATTTGATATGTCTATCACAATTCTATTAGCACCATTTTATAGTACTCTTTAATTGTTGAGACCCCACAATAAAATTTGAGTCCCTAGCAATTAATCATTTAATTTCAAATTATTATTGTTCTAAAAAATGCAACAAAAAACACCAAATCAAATATTGGCATTTGGTATGAAAATGCATTTCTTTAAAATTTATATGATGTAGTTTGATTAGATATGTATTTTTGTAAAATTTACGATTTAAATATATCTTAACCGGTATGTAATTATAAACTTTAGAAATTAGTTATCCTAAATATGCCGTGATATTCTTGTAGCTATAAAAACTTGTTATTGAGGATAAAATAAAAGTTTAAGTTCAATTATTTCAAAATAAAAAAATTATCATTGTCATTTTAAAGGACTAATAAAGACATAATGTCATTCTCTTTTAGCAACAAAAGTGTTGTATTTTGTATCGTCTTTGTTTTGATAAGATGTGAATGATATTATATATATATCACTATATGAAGCGCTAACTATTGAGTAAAGTGAGAATTTGCTATAGTGCATTGGTTTGATTGATGACTCATTAATGTTTTCAAGTACATGAGTGTTAATTGTCTATCGAAATTTCTGTATACATTTTAAATGCTTCGTTATGACTCCCAACAATATACAACAGTCAAAATAGTTGAATCACAGCATACTATAAAGATATGTAACATGTAAATTATTTATCTCAAAGATATATCACGTATACCTTTTTACTTTTTATAATTATACTTGACTAATAAAATGTTGAAATTTGAAAACTTTCTAAACATAAAATGAGACACGTTATATATTAATTAAAATAAAATAAGATTGAAGTTAAAGTATCAAAAAGAATTTTTGATGCGAATTAAAAAAAAAATGTTTGGTCATTCGTTTAAGCCACAAAAGAGTGAAAAGTTCAAATGGACCATAGTGAGTTAATGAGGACACAACACCAACATAATTAAAGGTCTTGAATTCAAATTCTAGATATAAAGAAAAATTCTATTAAGAGTATAACTCTCGAATGAGTCCTATTATTTGGAATTTGAATTTAATTTAAACTTCAATATGAGATTCAGATACCAAATGAAGAATAAAAAAAATCATGACACGTCAATTCAAAACCGTTAATATCACAAAATGTAAAGTGCCACTAAAAATAAATAAAATTATATTATAAGGCATCATCGTCAATAATAAACCTTGTAATAACAAAATAAACTTAAATTAATTATTGAATATCAATCCTAACAAAGGGAAATGAAAAGTGCGACATTTGAAAAAGAAGAAAAGAAGTAGAGGTTTCTCATTTGATAAAATAAAATAAAATGTCGTTTCCAAATGGCTTAAATTTTAGTGTGTTTGGATGAAACCTTACGTGTCTATCAACAAAGGCCTCTTTATCATGCAAATTCAAAATGATCAACACGTAGCAAACCCCCCATCTACTTCTCTTAACTCTATCTATCTATCTATTATATTACTCATAGCTCTCCTCTCTGCTTTTCCACTCTTCATCTACAATCCTTAGCAACAAAAAGAAGAACAATGCAGAATCAGCCTCGTCATGAGCAGCAGCTTTCTCGTCAGGTGGCCAAGACCACCACTGCTGTCACTGTTGGTGGTTCACTCATGGTGCTTTCCGGGTTAACTCTGGCGGCTACCGTTATCGGTCTAGCTATAGTTACCCCTTTGCTGGTGATTTTCAGCCCTGTTTTGGTACCTGCTGTTATAACTCTTGGGCTGATCCTTGGTGGGTTTTTGGCTTCTGGTGGTTTTGGAGTTACTGCTTCTTTTGTTTTCTACTGGATGTACAGATATGTCACGGGGAAGCACCCGATCGGAGCAACCAAGATCGATTACGCGAGGGATAAGATTGCACATGTGGCAAATGATGTGAAGGAGAAGGCGGAGCAGTTGGGGCACCAAGCACAGCAGCAGATTAAGGGTTGAAGAGAGATTCATTCAAGAGCTCTTTTTATTTTTATTTTTATTTTTAATGCAAGCATGTACCTTTTAATCGTTTGTTTGAGAATGTTGGTTTTTGTGGTAGATCTCAATGGTTCTGTAACTTGATTTACTATTAACGAGTCTGTTATTAAAATATCCAAATCCTTGTTAGTTCCTTGCTTCCTTTAAGATTTTAGTTGAAAATGATGCCAAACTCTGGCACAAGAAATCAGTTTTGGCACACGCATGAATGGGAGGCCACCTTCTAGTAAAATTATTGGCCGATGGTGGAATTACTGCAATCATATGTAGCAGAGTTGTTCACCAATAGTACAAGTACTAATTTCTCAAAAGTAACTTATTGCAAACAAGAAGAAACATAGTACTGGAAACGGCAGAAACATGAAAAGCTAAAATTGGTTTAAACATCTCATCGATAAAAGCCTCTAGATTGGCCTAAACGTTTTGGGAAATAGCAATAACGTTGAAGTTGATTGAGTCTGGATTTTTCTCGATTATCTTTTTGATAACTCTGGCTGCATCCTGTAATAAATGAGAAATACTTCCATGTCACAAAACGCATAATGGGGAGATAGATGAAAGGAACTTTTGTTTAAAAGGACTACTTAAAAACATTTAAGTTTTACGATCTCATACTAGTATGAACTTTAGTTTAAAAGAACTTCTGAAAAAACGCCAAATCTTATGTTGGAGTAAAACTAAACCTTAATCCCAATTAATTGATATTTGCTTATAAGTGATATTTCTCCAGATTTGGGACTGATAAGGTGATCACACGTACTGAAGAGTTCCAAATTAAAATGGATGAAGAAACGAAGGTTAGGTCTGGGTGTGAAACAAAGAAATTGGGCCACAGTCACTGACTAATTGTCATCGGTCAGTGAACTTCACTCCCCAGAGCATGGACATAATTACTTACCTTTAATAAGCTGCTTGGAGAGGATGCGCCATGTGTAATAGGTCCAGCCCTCCTTCCATCAAGTTCATAGAGTTGTCCTGCAATGTGACCAAAGCTTGTGTGACTTTCAATTCCTCACCCATCATGAGTCGAGTTAAGTAAAGCTGAATCGTCTAGTCAACAATCACTATATTATTGATGTTGTAAACAAAATATAGTCATGATGCAATTTTTTGACTCCCATAACATGCGCTCCTAGTGCTCCCCAATTTGTTGTTGTTTAACTTAAGGGAAAAAAGAGGTTTCCCATTAGTATCAATGGATGGCAGTATGTTATCTAAAGGAAGTGGTTGACCTAGCAGACATCTTCAAATCATTATTATAGCATCAATACAAGCTTCCATGTTTTCACATGAAAACTATAGCTAATGAAATGTAAATTGATGGAGATCCCAGGCCCTCTAGGTGCTACTATGCTCCATATCAACCGAACTCCTCAAACACTCTGCAGCAAGCTACAAATGGAATAACAGTTGGCTCCCAACAATACTCGGAAAAAAAGTAAATCAACCTAACAACTTTCTACACCAAAGCCATATTAGTGGATACTAGCAGTCTAGCATAAGGTTTGTAATGCCCAAGCACTCAGTTTACACTCCAGATGACAAATAACTACCATCTTAACTTGGAAGCAGAATGCAGACAGTGCTTAAGTCAATTCTACGGATCACAGAAACTGAGAGAGTGAGAGAAAGAGTGGGATGAAATGGGATGGAGAAGGAAATACCATCAACACAGGTGAAGCAGATGAAATGAGTGTTCACATCGTCGGTAGCCTGCATAAAGAACGCACCAGATTAATGCACATTAAACAGGAAAAAAACATCAAAAAAGAAATAGTGACATGTATTTTATGTCATATACATGGGAATTGGGATTGTTAAACCAACAAAAGGAGTTATTATTTCAATGGGAAAACTGATATAGAGGAAGTTTCTGACTTCATAGTCTTAAAATCCAATCAATTTAGTTTCACATCTTCAAAAAGATTTAACATAAAGCCAGCAAATGTTTTTTTCCATCTTCCATAAATCATATTCTAAAAAATTAGAACTATCTTCTATTTTGCAGTTTTTAACAGAGTTTGAACTGAGGTTCACACAAAACTCTCAAACAATCTCTATATTGGCTTGCATAATAACAAAAAACTACAGCCCCTGGCTCTAACATTTCTCAGTTGCAAGAGAAGCACGCAAATTCACAAAAGTGTGAGTTTTAGGAAGAGTAAATGCACCAGAGACTAATAAGAAGGTTGTTGGTTATCAACTATCTGCAAACCATCAAAACCTCTGGTGTTTGTGTTGTACACAGTTGCCAGGCTTAAAGGTAGCCTCTAACATGCCCAAACTCTCTCATGCAAACAGGCCAGAGCTTAACAAGAAGGTTGTTGGCCTTCTCAAAAACAAGAAGGTTGTTGGTCTTCAACAAACTGCAAGCCATCAAAATCTCTGGTGTATCACACCAATACCCACAGAAGGCTTAGAAGTGACAGCTTCCTATAAGACGCCCAAATACTTTTTTCATGCCTCTCTGTTCCAACAATGTCGAGAAAACAAAGAGGCTGTCGTAGCAGCAAAACACATAAAGAAACGTCCAGAACTGTGAGCTCCGGAAAATCTAAATGTACAAAAGTTCAAATCAAATATAGAAAGTTGTTCACAGCAACATTCTTTAGATCAGCAAAAGTTAAGCTGCTGCTGCCACCACACAACAGCGACACCAGGCTTGAAGGTACCACCGTATATTTTTATTTTTTATTTAAAAAGAGGAAATGGGGAAGGGATTACAAGATAAGGAATTAAACCCTCACCAAATAAGTGAAAGTTTAGGTTACCAACTGGACTACCCTACTTGGTTGCATGAATTCTTCTTCATGTTTTTTGCACTAGATCAGACCCTCCTCCTTTGTGGTTGCTAGTCTCTAAATAAAATTATCTTTCTTCTTTTTAGAAAATGTCAAGAGTACTCATAGATCATTGGTTCAATTAATATGTCAATACATTGATGAAATATTTAATCTCTGACTTACTTTACTTCTAAGTGCACCAAGGAATGATTAAGTACCAATGGAATCTTATATCAGTAATTGAAAGCATAAAGGACAAGCTGAAGGTTTTTGAATATGTTCAGCCACAATTTTACTTCAGAGAAGCAAATATTGTCGTGGACTCATTGACTAATGAAGGATTGAAGCTCGAGGGACAGATTTGGTATGATGAATTTGAGTAGCTTTCAGAAAAATGAAGGCAAAAATGGTAATGGATAGCATACAAATGCCTAGTTTCTTGAGTAGGCATAGATTTAGTATAAGGACTGTTTATTTGAGATATGTAAGAAACACATAGATTATTCAAGGCAATTCTGACCTCAGTATCACCAGCAGTGGCTGCCACTGAATGAGCAACTTCCATTTCCCTATCGTTTTCAAGGAACAAAGCACGCTGCAAATTTGTACCTGAATGTATTAGCATTGGATGACTAGAATGATGTGACTGGCCACTAACTTCAATAGCGAAAATTAATACCTGCATTGGGTCCATGCTTGAGGTTGATTTAAAGAACTTGTCCAAGAACGAACCCTCGGCTAAATGGAAAAAAAAAACATGCATGTCAAAACTCGGGGAACAAAAAGAAAAGAAAAACTAGGATTGAAAAGATGGCAAAAAGAAAACAGCAAAAAGGGAAGAAAAAAAACAACATAGTGAACATGTAAAAAGTAAAACAAAAAAACATATCTTCCAAGTTGACAAGAATGTCACCATAGTTCAAAGAATTTCATCTAACCACCAAAATTCTCAAGATCTTATCTGTGGTCAGGCATTTCTCAGACTATGATAATGAATTAAGAGCCTTTCCCCCAAATATTATCATCAATTATAGCACAACATCAAGCTCTTGACTGAGTAATATACTACTTGTGCAACTATCTGTTATGATACTACCAGAAACTCTTAAGTACTCCCACCTCTAATATTACATACTTAATGCAAAGAGTAGAAACCTTCATGGTGAGAATCAGTTCATGATATATATAGAACATCAAATGACTTACTAAGTTTTATCTGAGAGGTGATATTCCCGATAGCATGAAGAAGGCCAATTGTTCCGCATGCATTTCCCACTGTTTGTTTCATGTAGTAAACTGTACTACTGGGATCGTGCACCTGCCAGAAAGCTCTCAAGAATAATTATAGAATTATGAAGCCAAATATAAGGCATAAATGTAGAAACAATCAAATATTCCAACTCAACTCGGTCAAATAAATAGAGAAGAAACAGATAATCAAGTATATTAGGAGATATTTATAAGGGGCCAAAAAAAAGATGTTGTAGTGATGACTGATGACTGATTTATGTGACTGATGAAATATAAAATCGAGTTTCTGTTACCTGTCAAAGCCAAGTATAAATTGACCTTGCATTGTCTATTAAACTCACTTAGCAAACAACCTGTCTACAGGACCACTTAGACACACTGGTATGGTTTCACGACAGCAGCCAACAAAGATAAAGCCAGAGTTCAACGAACTGGAGAATGTTGTACATCAGCAGGAAAGCAAACAAAAAGGAACAAATGAAATAATCAGATCCAAGACAGAGAAAGGATCTTGGCAACTGATAGCAAGGAGACCAAGCACTGGCAACTGCAAACCCCACTTCCCCTTTAAATAGGAAAAAGAGAGAGGCAAGAGGGAACTTCCTAGGATTAGTGATGGACAAAGTTTCACACCAAGAACTGCATAAGCAGGAACAATGACATTTAAGTAATTGAACACCCCAAAAAGAGAGAGACTAAATGGCATAATTTGCCTAACGGAATCATTCATCAATAAGAAGAAAAAAATCTAAGGTTGGAAGTAAAGAACTGATGAACATGAGTAGTTTATAAAGAAATGGTCATTCAATTCACCTTTGTTTCGCTGTCTTGCTTTATTCTCTCTTCTTCACTCTGCACGCACATTGCAGAAAATTAATTAGTTGACCAGGATCATTGACATATACCAGTTAACATCAAACTAAATAACAACAAACCTGAGATGTGAGAGGATAGAGAAATAAAACAGCAAGCACTGGCTTTGGCACCATCTCCAGAAGTTCTTCATCTAACCCATAAACATCACAGCACTCGGCCTCATTCGCTGGAACACCAAGACCCCAAAGAAACTGCTCGATAAAAAAAACTCATAAATTAGGAACTTCATTAATATTTTTCATTTCTACCTTCATGTATATGATTTTCCTCCTCCTTCAGCTTCCTATAGTTTAACAAACCATATATAAATTTTGATTAAACGATTCTCAACCTAGTTAAGAAATACCATCCCATAGTTCTTTCACATACTAAAGCCAACAACAACAACAAACACAATGAAATCCCACAAGTGGAGTGGTAGAGTGTACGCACACCTTACCACTATCTAGTGGAGGTAGAGAAGCTGTTTTTGGAAAACTTCACATACTAAAGCCAAACTTATCAAATCTAATTCATGGTGGGAAACATACTTAGTTGATTGAGTCAGTTCTCAACCAATATTAAGGTCATTCTCTTTTTACTTCTAATTACACTTAGAAAACATCAATATCCTCGATCCCATTTTATATGACACCATTAGTACTTGACTACATTTTCTTTTCCACATATCTGATGCTCCTACCAACTATTTTTAAGCACAAAACATTGCGACTTTCTAAATTTTAAGTATCTAAAACTAACTTTTAATCAGCTTCAAAAAAATCTAACTTTTAAATAATGTCCAATTTGAGTCCAAAAATTAGCTAGTTTGACCACAGTACTCAAAACAGATCGTGATTTTGGGACGGAGAGAGAGTAGTAGGTTGAATTCATTCCAGATACAGCTGATTCAGAAGACGGTAAATACTACAAACTGAGATTATTTGAAATACCGAAACAAAAAGAGGATACAAATGAAAATCAAGAGATAGGAAAAAGGAGTGAAGGTACCTGATTCATGACATCGGGGTTAGCTTCAAGAGGAAGCCATCTCTTCTTAGAGCCTGTGCTTTCCGCCATGGATTCCTTTCCTCTATTTTACTCTCTCTCTCTACCTCGATCGCCTTCTCCTCTTTATATATATATAGTTATGGGAAGGGCTTTATGGTGGGAGGTTTTATCATTTTCTAGCACCCTCGTCTTCTTATTTTTCTTTATCATTTTTTGTTTGTTTGTTTTTACAATTTAAATAAAATATAATTTTATAAAAGAAATGTTAAAAAAAATATATTTTAAGAATAAAAAATAAAATGTTGGAGAGATTTGATTGGACCTAAAACTAAAAATTGTAATAGATCACTAAATCAATTTACCAGTATTTTGAATATTTAAAGTTGAAAAAAATAACAAGATGAAGAATTTAAATTCAAAGGTATATTATAATGCTAAATATTTAGCAAGTTATTAACACGAGATACTTTTCCAGGAACGCATTTGATTATTTCAAATATATATCTTTTTTAAACAGCATTATTATCAAAGGAGCAAGTTTTCAACTTTTTTGGAGTATGAAGAAAATTATATTGGAAAATGAGCCCTACAATACACGATTCAGATTTAGTTCGAACTCCAATGTGGGTTCCTGATATATAGGGTGGGAAACAAAAAAAAAAGTTCCAATTTTTAAAATTTTATTTGGTTGCACAAAACTTCTTATGACATATTTTTGTATATGAGTGTTTACTGTTACTAAAAGAATTTCGAGGAGATCTACACTTCCCATCTATTTATATTTTACAGTTTAATCACTTGGTGTCCGAAACAAGTGAAGATAATCAATCTAAATTTGTGTCGAATAGACCTAATAAGCGAGTTGAAACGCTCCTAATTAAAAAATACTTCAATTTGATTATGTGAATGTCGAACAAAATTTGACTCAAGGCCAAACCTATTAAAAAAAATCTAAATATCGTGGTTGTCAATTTAATAGATCTCATTGCATTGTAAATTGACAACCACGATATAGTAACTCTAGCATTGTGCCAAGTCTTGTTCTCACATCTTTCACTAGCTAACATGCAAAAACCTCTTTTGAATTCTGCCATTCTTGATATCCATTTTCTCTTCATAAGAATGTATTAGACTTAAGCTCGACGAACCCATTGCTCTAGTCGAAGCTGCTTTAGAGGAGGACCAATATTTGGCTTAGTCCTTTGGGGGCACCGCCATTTTCCTGTTGTTTCCAAAGCACTAGGATGCAAGTTGGTTGTTTCTGTGAGTACCTTTCTAGTCAAACCCTGCTTGTGGCAGTTTGATGCAACAGTGACTCCACTTAAAGGAGACTGAACTGCAGCTGGCGTTGGCAAAGGACTTTTGTTCTGCACTTGACTATTTCTACTCTTTCTGGTTGTTATAAAACCATTCTCTCCAAAGTCATTTAGGTGATTTTCTTTGTGGATGATTTCTGCTGCTTTCCGTTTGGATAACTTCTGACTTAACACACTTATCTCCATCCTATTTTTAGATTGCACATCATCAGCAGGTTCAACACTATCTTTAGATTTCGAACTGTTCTCTGCAGAATCCTTCCTGTGAATTGGATGTCTGTATAATTTTTCACCTTCACAGCTTGAATGATCGATGGTGCAGGATACTTTGCAGTTAACTTCTTGAGGAAAAATGGTCTCCAAGTGTTCTCCATCACTCTCTTTGAAGACCATGTCAATGTCTCTTGGTGAACCACAATTGCTATTCTCCGTTGTCTTGTGATTTAGTGTCTGTTGAGAAATCCTCTCATGAGACATTCCATTGGATATTCTTGTGTTCTTTGTCCAATCAGCCTCCTGATCCTTCAAAGCATACAAACACGAAGGAAATCATCAAGGGAACTTATGACAATATGGTAAGGTAGACCTCAATTATGTAGCTGAAGTGTCAGTTATCTTCTTTGCATGGTAGAAACAATTGTATAACTAACAGAATCGGAGATGAGATGGTTCATATGCATAGCTCCAGCCAACTAAAAATACCTAAGTTTCTAACTAACTAAAGACAGAATAGATCTTTTAATGTTTCTTTCTGTCTTTGTTTTGTACATATGTTCAACTATGTGATCCAACACTGTAACTCAATGTAATCTTATTGTATATTCTAGGTACTGATCCCTCCAGCCAAAAAGGTTCGTACAATCGCAGAAAGATAAAATCCATCTGTTTGTTGATCTACAGCTTAAGGTTCTACGTTTACTTTGAGTGTACATTCAATAAATCAACATCTAAAACATGAGTTCACAAAGAATTGATGTAGATCAAGAGGATGTATGAAAGGAGTTTGATGCAGCTGAAGGTTCTAAGTTTACCTTTGAGGCAGTTTGATGCTCATACTTGTCATCATGGATAAAAGGAGTTCCTAATGAATTCCTAAAATTCTGAGGTTCCTCACCGCCACTATATCCATTCGTACACACTTTGTCATCTAATTCTTTCTCATGATCTGGAAGTATGGAATCTTGAATAGTATCCACTTTTGGAGATTCATAAACATAGCTAGAGAACCAGTTCCGGATGTCTGGAGGCTCTGATAAAGACCATATATGGTAACAAAGATTAGCATTAACAAAAATTATCATTGCCTGCTTAAAAAAATGGAAACTTTTGTATTAGGAGGTGAAAGGATCACACTTACCTGAAGCAAGTGAAATGTCATCTGAAGACTCCACATCCTAAAGACAAGTACATAAAATCATGGTTTAGTAAGAAAACACAGGAGAGACGGTCCAAAACAAATCTATGTGCTACACTGTCCAGAAAGGAACTCGTCGATACATGACTTGATGTTTGTCAATCCATACAATATTTTGCAAATTTTCCTCACACAAAATTGCTCATCTACTTGCAATAAATATTTCTGAACTTCACAGACTATGGGGAACATGCTAATGGAAATAATCAGAGAAAATTGTAACATTATTATCAAAATCCACCACCAAGACGTAGCACTTCAAAATAGACTTGGATTCCAATTAAAAGTTTGCACAGTGGAAATTGAAACAACAATAGAAAATAGAACTTGCCTGACCTACCCATTTGTTATCTGCAACAGAATTTGTACACTGCTCAAGGTCTTTTGATGCCATATTGCCTCCAGAAGACAAACTGTTGCTTTTCCCATTTGTTTGATTTTCAGCAGAATTATCTTCCTCCCTGCTGTTGATGTCTTCTTTGCATCCTCTGGAGCTAGTATCCTCATTGAAACTGATGTCAATTGATTCAGGGACTATAGTATCATCACTATCAGCCAATAGGGGAGTTTCAGGCACAAAACTTGAGAAACAGTCCTTGGTATCTAAAGGCTCTGATAGCACTGACATAGGGACAGAAAGTCAGCTTCGTACAAATTTCATACAAGCAATTTTGATATACAAATTTAAGGGAAAGAGATGAACTGGCAACTTTAGTATGTGGTCTAGTTTCTACTTTCTCGGCATATATAAGGTTCTAAAATCCACTTCTTTCTACTGAGATGCCAGAAAACAATAGTAAGCAATACTTCATAGTATGTTAGCCTAACTTACCAGAAGAAAATGGGATATCATCTGAAGCTCTCCAAACCTGTGAAACAACCACTAGAGTAATATTACTAATCTTAAAAATGGTAGTATTCATTAACAATCTACAACTTTTAAAGCTCTTAATAACTATAAGATTGAATTCAAGAAGCAGATAACAAAAATCTCTTTAATGTTGGACTCTAATGTAAAGGTTTCTGAGTATAATCATATCTTATGATCACAGTAAATTGCATAGCTTAACAGACCTAATTATATCCCCGTGGCTTAAACTTTTTAACAAGGGGTTGATATTTCCTTCTTTTTTCCCTTTCTCATGAGGGGGTTGAGTCAATTCAACAAATTTATTGTTTTTTCCACAAATTTAAATGAAAAGGGGGGAATCTAAAGATAAGGTTTAAGGGATAAGACTTGAAGCTCAACTACCTTAGTTGGAAGTTTGATATCTCCTTGTGAAGCTACATTCTCACCACAATGCAAGGAATCAGCTTTCTTTCTTTTCCTGCCATCTCCCGAATCTTGAAAATCATCAATCTCACTCAACACCGGCGAATCATACGCATAGCTCGAGAACCAATTTCCAATATGAAGAGGCTCTATTTGTTCAAACAAGAAAATTCCAATGAAAAAAAAAAATAGATTGAACCTTCTAGATTAACTCTTTGGGGAAAATATGCATACCAGAAGGAACCGACAGTGAGTCTACAGAATCTAACACCTGCAATTCAAAGTTGCTCATTCAGTGATTAAGTTTAATTTCCTTTTTGTTAGCAGAATAAAAAACAATAAACTAGTGTTTCACCATGGATTTTGAGAATTCTAATTACAAAACAAAAAAAATCCAAGTAAAATGAATGTACAAACACAATTCATAAATTAAAATTTTCAAAATCTATGGTCAAATGGGAGCTTCTGGGATTACCTGCTTCGACATCGGCTAGAGAAACAAGAACAATTCAAAAATGATGTTTGAAAAATGTGAAAAGAGAAACTGTGAGAACAAAATTTTGGGATGTAAATAATCTACAAACTACAATGGCGCGTCTTTCAAATTTTCAAATTTATTATTTCCCGGAAAAAATTCCATCTGCCTGAAAACATTTTACTGTGTTCAACTTTTGAAATTTCCACATTTCTCCTTTATTATCAACTTAGCTGCAGAACTGGTCCACTATTTTACCTTTATTACACTTTATGCACAAACAAAGTACAAACACCACTTTGCCTTCCTAATTTTATTTTAGGGAAAAGGGTCAAAAATATTCTCAATTTTGTTTTATTGATTGACTATATCCTTATCATTAAAATAAAGTTATGTTTACTAATTTCATTATTTGTGCCCTCAATTGGATGGAAGGCCCCAAATCAACTAAAATTACCTAATTTTAACCCGATCCGACCCACTTAATCATATAACCCATTTCTTTTACCGAAAAATCAACTTTGCTTTCCACCACCAGCGCCTCCACTTAAACCACCACCAAAGTCACCACCCTTTCCGAGATCTCCTCCACCACCTCGAAACAGGTAATTTTTTGGGTTTATAATAAGGTAAATTTTTTAAGATAAAAATGTTTGAACTTTATTCATGATATTAAAATCTAAAATACAAAATAATAAAATTGTTTCTTCTCAACGTCTGAAAATACATGAAGCTTGTCTTTATGAAAAATTTCAAATAAAATATTACGTAATTGATTCAATACTATAGCAATAAATTAAATAGGGGTAATCAGTTAACTGCTCATTTTTTGAAGTCCCGTCTTCTTAGTACTTAGTATAATGTAACAAACATTACATGTCACAGTTAGTATATATAGTAAGATTGATTTTCTTGGAAAATAAAAGAAGGAAGGTTCAATACGTAAAGTCACATGAACATATTTCCTGGAAATCCTGCTTCCTTGGCCTTGGGATGCGTTGGCTCGAAAAATATAATAGACCAAGGAAGGAGAATTAACCACATACAATATTGTGCGCCAATGTATATTATTCTGCATTTACATGGTCCTACTTGCTTTAAATTTCCAACCAAGAAAAATTGAACTTGATTTGGTGGGATTCTGAACTTTCTTCAACACAATCATCAACCAAGACATATACATATAGTCATCCACTTGCACATCTAATTCCCTCATCGTAGGTCTCTTTTCGCCATATATATATATTCTCCTTATCAAGCTCAATCGATTTTCTCATAATTCAAGCTCTCTTCCACTTTGTGTTGTAATGTCAATGCTATGAGATATACTCCTAACATTATTACTGTATTTTTTATTCACAAAGGTATCACTTGGAATTAAGTGCTCCCTTTCACCTTGGGTTTAGGCCTTAGGGAGGAGGAGATTGAACTCATTTGAGTTTAAAGTAGTTTGATTGAAGTGGAGTAGGAAGAATGAAGATATATATATACTAGTTGACTTTATCTTGCATATTGCACGTATATATCTTGATTCTTCATTATATTACTCTTGACAACATGTCTTCAATTTGCATGATCACTAGTTGATTCACGGTTCACAAGGTTATATTTGCGAATGGCTCTCATGGTATGTACTTCACTTAGGAGTACTTATATTTGCAACCACTTTTACCTTCTTTGATGAGATCTATTAGTCATTTTTTGTAATTATAAGTAAGACATTTGTATTAATTGGAAAGACTCTGGTTCATTCATCCGATGTCATATATGTTACTTTTTATGACGTTATTAATTATTCTATTTATATAGTCTAGTCGTCAAAGAGAAAAAAAAATTGTATTCTTCCTTTTGCCCATATTGATCAGTTTTATTCTTTCAAATCTTCTCTATTGCGCATTGAGTGATATTTTACTTAATTAAATCCACATATTAGTCATTCAAATAAGAAGATAAGTCGACTTTTGGTCATTGATTTCAGTTATTTTTACTTTAGTTGGAATTTATGAAGTTAAAGTTGAAAATAGAATTGTGTTTGGTTATACTTGCAAATGAGAGAAAAGAGCATTCTATTCGAAAAATTTGGAATTCAACTTCAAGTTTAATTAGAAATTTCCATGGCCAAACACTAATATTTCTGTAAAACGAGAAATTATTCCAAAAAGTGAATAATTCTCATGGCCAAGTGAGTCCTAAAGAAGAGAAAAACAAGTATGTCGAAAACATATACATCTTGTTACTTCTTTGTACATGAAGTATACATTCCCTGCTAGTAATATATAACACTCAGGATGATGGACTAGGCAAACAACTAGATCTAGGGAAATTATGTTCTCTATCAAGATTGATAGTCAAATCCTTTCCCTTGCTAGTGTAAAGTCTTTTAAAATTAGACCTTTGTTCATTTAGCAGCCTCACAAGACTTCTCTTGGCATTAGGCCTAAATGGACAATTAGATGCCGTAAATCCATCCACCAAGTGCAAATACGCCTCTAAATCATGGCAGCACGCAACATCCGCGTTAGGCTTCAAAAAAGGAGACATCTTTGTATCAACTCTGAATTCAGTCCCAACATGTGAGTACGCCCATGGCATCCTACAATCTAACATCTCTAGCACTCGACCTGCACCCGATTCTCTTAACTTTTTGTCGAGTGATTCGCTCACAAACATTCCTGGAACCCTCGTGATCACGTCTTGATTATTCACGATACGTAAAACCTTAACATTATTATCGTTAAGTCGATCCGCGAAACCCCGGTTGCCTACTCGTGGCCCCCCGAAGGAAAAAACGGCCACGGGCGGGGCGTTCGGCACGCACATGCTTAAATCATCCGCGACTAAAAGGGATAATGCCGCACCGAGACTGTGCCCGGTTATGGTAATGCTTAAAGGCTCGCCTTTGTATTTTTCGATTAATCTTTGCACTTCGTTAACAACTGATTCAGCTAAACTTGGCACACGATGATCACCTGTTTTGTATAAACTTAAAAATCCACATTCTACTTTAGACTGTACTACTCCTTCGTCGTTATCATCATCATTATCATTTTGTTCCACTAACAAGTCACGAAAATTCTCTGCCCACTCTAAACAAGTGGCGGTCCCTCGTAACGCGATAACAATGTCTCTCCTTCCCATTCGTTGGATCTCACTCCTGTCATCGCACACTGCCACATAACCGATCCAGCTAGACCGCTGAGTCATCCATCCGAGATCAGGTGCCACGTCATCAACCCACTTAGGCAACCCAATAGACGAAGTTGCGTATAAGCTTTTAGTCACCTTGTATGACCTATCCGGCAACGCCACGTGTCTCTCCGGCGGAACCTCATCTGCTGACGTGGCAGGGTCGGAGTGAAAACAGTGATAAGCCGACTGTATGAATTCTCCGTACCGGACTAATTCTCGCCGGAGATTTTCGTCGAGCGGATCGAGTAGCCCGAGCCAGTTATTGCTGCCGTGATACTCTCTCCACCGGTTAGCGAGATTGTTCCGAGGAGAATATTCAATTGATTTTGAAGATAATAGTCTTTTTAGTCTATTCAAATGCCGTGGCGACATATCCTCTGCAGCTTTTCTCATCTCATCAGGCCAAATGTTAGCCAAATTGAGCCCTTCTAACAAGTTTTTTCTTCTATTCTCTATCGACCTATTACTGGATTGTTCAATTACAGGTTTCGATGAATCAATTGGGTTCGTCTTTTGCAGAAACTTATCGAGATTGGAAATATGTTTTTTCGTCATTTCTGTAGATGAGATTGTTTTTACAGTTTGTGCATTGCACTTAAAGTTGACTCCCTGTGGCTGAAAAAGGTGAAGATTTGGTAGTGTTGTTCCGATCTGCATGGTTTTAGAGAGAGAAAAAGGTGGAGGGATTTAGAGAGTGAGAGAGGAGTCAATGAGTTAGTTGTTACAATTAGGAAGCTAGTTGTTATTGGATCGAACTTGGTTATTTATAGAGGAGAAGGTTACATATTGAGGCTTGTTCTTTTCTTTATTTACAATTACAACCAGCAATAACATCATAATATATAATCCAATAAATGTGGTTGAGGTATCCCATCACCGGTCGATTCGATTCAATTTGATTTTACGTATTATTAATTTGATTTATTAATTTTAAAGTGATTAAATTGGAAATTAAATAATTTATTATTGGTTTTTAATTAATTATCTTTTAGTTCTTAATAGTTAGATTTTGAGTTTAACTAGTAAAAAAATCTCTCTATATATATATATTCGTAAAATAGGAATTGTAGTTAGAATAAAAGTGCAACACAAATTTCCACATTGTTTATTTTTATCACAATCAATTCTAAAATTTAGAAGAGATAGATAATACTAATTTATGTCGAAAAGAGAGAAGATATCACAATAAAGAGGCACAAAGGCTAATTTGTATTTCCTACAATCGGAAGTAAAACTAAAAAAAAAACCGGTAAAATGTCAACCGAATAAATGAAGTAACATATAGTAAGAAAAAAAGGACACACAATATGAGTAGGTGAAAAAGATGGACGGTATTATTTGAGTAATTGTTCATTTGTGTTACTCTAATTACTTAAAATAGAAAAAGGAGAATAAATTATCCTCGTGGCTCCCCGAATAGCTAGTTGCTGACTCCTCTCTTTCCCTTTTCAATTCTATTCAAATATCAAAAAGTCTACTTTTAATTTATGGTTGACAATAACACAATTCCTCCAAATTCTTTATTTCAACATACCACGTTTTACACCTCCGACCATATTTTTTTTGTTTGATAAGGAAACCGTGCTCGTTATTTTTCGGATACATATTAGGTAAATTTCACTTTATCAATATAATAATCTGTAAATTATATTAAATAAATTCAATTGATAAATATAAATAAAATTCTTCATTTGGAGATCATCTCCTCAACTGAATGATGTAAATAAACTTCCAAATTCGAATTGTTGAGATCTTTGCCCAAAGGGTGATCTAAACAATTAATGGGCCAACAAGTAGGACACCTCCGACCATATTGTGCTAAA